CCGCCGTGCTGCTCATGCTGGACCTGTGCGCCGTCAGCAACGCCGCGCTGGCCCGCGTGCTCCGGCAGCTCTCGGACGTGGCCCGGCACGCGTGCAGCCTCTTCCAGGAGCTCGAGAGCGACATCCAGCTCACCCACCGCCGCGTCTGGGCGCTGCAGAGCAAGCTGGGCGGCGTGCAGCGCGTCCTGGGCACGCTGGACCCCAAGCAGGAGGCAGTGCGTGAGTACCGCCCGTCCCCGCCCGGGCCGCGCCCTCGTGCCCTCCGTGGCCGCGGCCATCCCATCCCCTCGGCGGCGCGCTCGCCGCAGCTCGCACCTTCCGCTCCCTCCCACCCTGTCCCTGGGTGGGTGGCCTGGCTAGACTTGGGTCAGGAGGCGCACGAAGCGCAGGGAAAGTTGAAGGGCCGCTTTGGAACTTGCAGGGAGGCAGTGAATGGAGAGGGGGCCCCAAGGGCGCGCTGAGAAGCACATAGGCAGAGGGGTCTGAGGGTCGCCTCTGGGGTGTGCCCTCCACCTCCCTATCTCTAGAGTGCCACTCTGGGGCTTTGCAGCAGCCCCGCCTAGAGCACCACGGACGAGTTTGGGGGGCTCCACGGACGAGTTCGGGGAGCTCCCGTCCTGGTGGGTGTGTTTTCAGGACTTCTGCAATCCGGTTTTGTCACTCTTGCTGTGACCTCCAGGACTGCGCCGAGCCCCGAACTTGTACCTTTTGAATGTGTGTGACAGAGAGTGTGGCGTTGCTCGCTTTTAGAGTGAACTCTGGAGAGGGCTGTTCCAACCCTATGGGCCCAGCGTGGTTGCTGGAACTGGGTGGAAGACAGGGGTCTGGGGCCCCGGGGAGAGGGAAGAGACTTGAGGGCCTCTTTGTTGCTCTGAGCAGCCCTGAAGGGCTCTCTGTGCCTTCTGCTCACCAGGGTCCCAGAGGTGGACCGGGATTTAGGCAAGGACTCCTCAGCTCTGCTGGGCTGGCGAAGGGGGTGAGGCTGAGGTCTGGGAGTCCTTTGGGCCCCCTTTCCACCCTTTCACTCTTGCCTCCGCGCAGGGCTCCCCCTAAATGGCCCTTCTGTGCCATCTACCCTCAGAGGGACCCATACCCTGGTCCTCAAGCAGACAGTCGCCCATATTGTAGAAGCACCACCCCAGCGGCATGCCAGTCCCTGGACGCCTACTCTGGCTTCTACGCTCATGGCGAAGGCGATGTCAGTGACTTTGGCTTACATAAGTGGCGTCCTTGGTTGCCGCAGCAGCTGCGCCAGTGCGCGCTGGCCTTGGAAAGCGCGGGGTGGGGGCGCATGGGAGACCAGCCCCCCCACCCCGTTTTCCAAGCACCTGGCCCTACTGCTTGACCCAGGCCTCTTCGCCACCCCCCACCTAACCTGCCACCCCCACCCCCACCTCTCCTGGGACCCTCTCTTTGAACCCCGCCTCGGGAATTTGCCGCGTTTCTGTAATAACAATAACAATAAGCGTAATGAATAAATGATGTGCGCGCTCGGTTTTCGCAGCTATAAAAGACCCGGAGTTGGGTTAATGACTGGTTGTTTAAAAGGGCAATTCCGGGGATGAGTTCTGGAAAGAATTAGGACTGCCTTAGGCCAAGTCATATTTTACTTTGGGGACTTGGAAGTGAGCGCTTTAATCCTGCTTCCTTTCTACCTCAATGGCACAGCAGGGAAGGACCCTTCACTTTCCACAGCGCAGAGGTCTGGGCAGTGTGGTTGGGGTGAATGATGATTTCACTTCAAAGGGGCTGGGGCTGTAGGGGTGAGTTGCCCAGACTTGAGAGGTGCTTGCATTTCATTTCGTGTGTGTGTGTGTGTGTGTGTGTGTGTGTGTGTGTGTGTGTCTCACCCCTTGAGTTAGGTTTCCTAGGAGGAAAACTCAGTTCAGGAGCAGCAGATGCCTCATTGCCCCTGACTTTTGAGGCAGCTGTGGGCAGTTGTGTGCCCTGATTTTAACACCGTCCTTTCAAAGCCGTTTAATTGTTTGTATTGCAAACTAGTGAGTAATAGAGAAAAAACGGGTCTCCTTTTGTGTGTTCGTACAGTTAAGGGATATTTTGTGTGTTCAGAAGTTAAGGGAGATAATACACTGTTTCTTCATGTACATTTATTTGCAAATAAAACCCTCACAATTCAGGGCCATCTAGTCAGTGCTGACTCTTCTTCACTCTATTGGACAGGTGGAACTGCCTCTGCGGGTTTCTGAGGCTGTAAAGCTTTAGAGGAGCAGAACGCCTCCTCCCTTTCCTGCTGATGGGAAGAGTTTGAACTGCTCACCTTGTGCTTAGCAGTCTGATTTGTAACCCACTTCGCCACCAGGGTTCCTTATAAGAATCAACAAACTCATTGCTGTCGAGATCGTTTCACCTCATAACGACCATCCAAAAAAACCTCCCAACTCACTGTTATGGAGTCGATACCAACCCATAGTGACCCTATTGAGCAGGGTAGAACTTCCCCTGTGGGTTTCCGAGACTCTAACTCTGGAAAGGAGTATAAAGCCTTGCATTCCTCACGCAGGGAGGCTGGTCCTTGGGACCTGCTCATCTTGCCTTGCTGTTCACAGACATGTGTAACCATCCCTCCTCCGGGCTCTCCATGAATAACTAGAGGGGGCTCAACGATATTGTATCACACCCTTGGGCCCGTTAGCAGGAGGAGATCATGCTTGGTAAAGCCCATGAGAAAGAAGAAGACCCTCAAGGACAGGAATTGACCCAGGGGCTGCATCATGGGCTCGGACATAGGCATGATTGTAACGATGGTGTGGCATTGGGCAGTGCTTCCTTCTTTTGCACCGAGGGCCTCAATGAGTAAGCACAGACGTCTCAGAAGTACCTCAGAAGACAGGCTTGGCAAACTGCTTCCAGAAGGTCACAGCCTTGAAACTTCTATGAGATGGCACTAAGTTGGAATCAGCTCAAGGCAACCAATAGCTGGCCATTTAAAAAAAATCCAAGGATAAACTTAAAATTGATTTTTTTCATCTTTCTAACACCGCTATCCCCCAAGTCAAGACCTCGTTTCTTACCTGTATGTATTTAGGATGCCATTGTCCTTGTTTGATGTTGTAAAAGGCATGGCCTTTGGGTGGCAATGCACAAGACCGTGTGCCCTACTTCGTGTGTCCCCAAATGCAGAGCCTGAGACAAGGATTTTGGTGCAAGTCGTGAACCTGGGATGGAATCCCAGGAAGCACAAGGCAGAAGCAGGAAAATACATCTGAAGAGGCAGGAAAGGCAGCACTGTGTGTTATTGAGCAACTGGGATTCAGCCTAGCTAGGCACTCTCTGAGAGCATACCTCGAAATTGTTCCACTGAGAAGCGAGGAAGGGAGAATGTTTATCCCCTAACTTCCCAACTGGAGCATGAGCTCCCTGGCTTCTGGGGCCCACCTCATGGGTGGTTCCAGCATATTCTCAGGACCAGAGACCTGTCTTAGTCAGATAGATGCGAAAAGCCCATAGTGTGTACAAGAATGTACCTAGACGACCATTGGGAAAAGCAGAGGAGCTATGGCTGAGGCACCAGGGGCATTTGTTACATCGTACATCTCCTTTTGACATGGCTGGAAGCCAAGGGAGTTTAAAAGGGAGAAGAACCCTAAAGATAAAGCACCTTTTATTTTCTCTTCCTCTAAGGAAGGTTGCATGCCTCTATGCTCCCGCCCCAACTTCTCCCTCCAGTCACCATTCCTCATCGAGCTGGTGGCTCTGTTGCTTCAACCTTGGATAGCACCACTGCATCTTGTTGCCTCAGAGCACTCTGGGAGTGGTTTGCAGGAAGTGACAGGATCTGACGTCTATTTTAGCAAGGTCACCCTGGAGGAAGGGCTGGAGACTAATGGATCAGTTGACCATTGTGACTGGTAGCTGGTAAGAATTGGTTGAACTCCGAATTCATTTTGGAAATAGAATTGATGGTGATGACTGATTGGATTAGGCGCTGGATGTGGAGGAAAACAAAACAAAGCTGATTTAAGGACTCCTAGTTCCCTGGTCACATTTCCTGAGGTGAGGAAGACTAAGGGGAGAATGGATGGTGGGGAGGGTGGAATCAATAGTTTTCTCTTCAGTTCAAGTGATGTTTGTGATATATTAGAGTCTTAGACAACCAAGGGGACATAGAGTCAGTGAGCTAGCTGTGTGGGTCCAGAGTTCGGGCAAAAAGATCTGGGCCAGAGATAGCAATGTGAGATCCTGTCTGAAGCCTTGCAAGCTCCGACAGTGTGGCTGGAAAGTAGAAAAGGGCCAGAACTGAGCCTGGGGCCTTCTGTCCTTAAAAGTCTGGTCAAGGAGGAGAGAGGTTGAGAAAGAGCCAATGAGCAGTAGAAAATTCAGGAGAAGGTGAATCAAGAATGAGGGGCCAAGTCAACTTGACCAAAGGCTTCTGAGCGTAATAAGATGAGGACTGAGAAGGGACTATTGAGTTTGGTAGCCTGGATGTACTGAGTGGCCTTGGTAGGAGCCATTTGGATGGAGGGATGGGAACCAAATCCAAAGAAGAGGGCTTGAGAGAGAACTGGAGGGGCAGAAGAGGGGATCCTGGCAACTCTTGGAGGAAGTCTTGCTCCTCGGTGGGGTGGTGGGAGGGGCATACACAGGGTTCTGTAGAAAGGGGGAAATTGATGATTCTGATCAATTAATGGGATAGGTAAGACATGGAAGTTCTTGATAAGGTGAAGGAGTGCCAGTGGAGGGGAGGGAATTGGTGTGAACAGGAACTGGGGAGTTTTAGTCATAGCAACTGGAGGGAAGATGGATTCAGACAGAGATGCAAGTGGAATGCTGGAGTGACACGAGATGTTCTTGTCAATTACATGGCCTTGCTCTGCGCAGTATGTGATAGGGCCACCATCTGAAAGGGTGGTGGAGAGATGCGAGAAGGGAAAGTGCTATGCGTTGTCTCAGAAAGGGAGTGAAGATGCAGGAAGGAAAGGTTATTTGGCTGTGTTGACAGCTTTCATTCTTTCTCGCCCCCACCCCGTGTATTTAAAATGTATTTTGTACGTCACTAAAGACTGCCAGTCCACTTCAATTTTACTTTCCCTCCTTTTGTTAGCGATTCAGATCAATATTTAGATCTGAGAGGTAAAGAATCAGCAGATTTTTTTTTAACGCTGTGAACTTCACTCTCAGGTTTTTGTTTTTGTTTAATTTTTTTAATAATAATTTTATCGGGAGCTCTTACAGATATCATACATTCCATCGTTCACTCA